AAGCCTGCATGTTTCTCTCTCTTTCTCTGTTTGTGTGTATGTTATGTGTGTGATGCATTCACATGAATACAGATCACTGTGGGCCGGCAGTTTGACACCCCTGCTGTAGTGGTTTAGGCAACAGGATAGAAACCAGGAGACTGTGAGGTCTAGTCCCACCTTAGGCACAAAGCCACCTGGGTGACCTTGGACCAGTCACTTTCTCTCAGCCCTAAGAAAAATTCAATGGTCAACCTTACCAAAAAAACCTGCAGGCATTTGTTCAGGCAATCTCTAAGAATGGGACACAACTGAATGGCAGATTTTATTTTCTACTAGATTTATTTTCCACTGGGTTAATATTTCTTTTTAAAAAATAAAATGTATTTCTAAAGCAACTGTGTGAAATAATTTCAGTTTCAAAAATGATTTCATACAAATTTTAAAATAGGTTGAAAATTCCTGATTAAACCTGGCAGGTGCCTAGAGTGGAAGAATTGGATAGCTTTGAGTCCAGTTACCTAGCTCCATTCAACTCTTCTTTTGGGACGCATTTCCTTATGTGAATTTCTCCTAACTACACCAGTTTCAGCCTGATTAGAGCATTCCCTTTGAGCCTCTTTCAGCCTTACTATTACGTGCCTATTTTTATTTTATCCATTGCACATGTGTACTTATCCAATACTGGTTGTAAATTGTTGTAATACTGTTGTAAAGAAGGGGATTCTTCTTCATGGCTATAATCAACCAGTAATGATAGTTGTGCTAAATTCATGTTCACTTCTGAATGCAGCACAAAAACAAAGAAGTTTCATGATTTTATGATGACAATATCAATTCACACTGCCCAAATAGGTATGAAGTTCCTTAAAATTTATTGTTAACTTGTTTTAAACCATTCCCTTTTTAAAAGTTCTTACACATCTGCAACATGGAACTGCACATGACAATTACTCAATTTGCATGTATATTTCTCCTTGATCAAGAATATGCACATCTCAGCTGACAAAAGGACAAGTACAAAACATTAGCATCACAAATAATTTGACATGGGGATTCATACTTCCAAGACAGGAGAGAGGGGAAGGGTTTTCTGCTCTACATTTGAAAAGCTTAGAAATACATATTTAATTAGGTGATGGTAAACAACCTGATCACAATTAACAGAAAGATTTGGAATACTCTCAAACACGAGTTTAAATGTTCCAAGGAAAATGAAACCCAACCCCCCTTGGACTGTTCCATTTTAAATGGTCAGGCATGAGTTTTAATCCAACCCTAATCCTCAGTCTTAGTTTTCTGTACCTAATTAGGCTATGCCGGATGTGTTGTGTTGCTCTTCTGATCTGACATATTCTTTGGAGGCTTATTAAATACCCTTTCTAATCTGCTCCAGAAATGGAATTATTGGGCAGACAATTTCCTCCCCTTGGATTTACATTAGTAAGACATCATTGGCTTTAGTATCTAATATACAGGTGGTCTTTGTTTAGTAACCACAAATGGGAACAGCAACTCAGTTGTTAAGTGAAGTGGTTGTTAAGTATAACTGCTACTGTGCGTAGGATCTTACTTCAGCTTTCCTTATGCTTTACAGACCTGTGAAAATCTTAAATGTGAGGATTGGTTGTAAAGTTACTTTTTCATTGTTGTCAGAACTACAAATGGTCACTAAATGAGGACCACCTGTATAAGGATCTACCTCTGGGACATTTACTTATTATATTACTCATGCATAATATGCATGTTGCAAAGTAGAAGTATAAAAAAATTATGACTGGGAGACTGTAGGTGGCATTCCCATCTGTGATCACAGAGCCCAACCCAGGATTTTTGGTATTTTATTTACTTTTTGGAATGGGGAAGAATTTAAATTATTTTGGAGCATGGCCCATGACACATTGCATAAAGCATTGTGTGGCCCTCAGGCAGAGGTTATGTATCTGAGTCCAAAGGATATTTGGCACTGGAGATGATGGCATCATTTATCAAGAGGACAAGGCAAGTGGAAAAAGGCAGTCCCTACAAAGGCCAAAATGAAAGAATGGCCTACAAATGAAACGTTTCCATACCTTAAGTGCCCAGATAACATTTTTGTCTTCATGTCATCCAATAGTCTTCTAACCAGGCGCAGCATGAAAAAGCCATGATGTGAAAGTATTGCCTTAGTATCAGCAAGTGGTAACCGAATTAGGGCTGATGTAATCCACGGAGGGAAATCTACAAATTTTCAACTCATGAACAAATTGCGCCAGCTGGCAATAGCAATAGCTTTTAGATTTATATACCGCTTCATAGCGCTTTACAGCCCTCTCTAAATGGTTTACAGAATCAGCATAATTGCCCCCAACAATCTGGGTCCTCATTTTACCAACTTCGGAAGGATGGAAGGCTGAGTCAACCTCGAGCACCATCAAGAACAAACTCCAGATTGTGAGCAGAGTTAGCCTGCAGTACTGCATTCTAACCACTGCACCACCAGCCAATGGCCATGTCATCTGGAGATATTGGAAACTATAGTTCAACTATTTTTGAAGGGAGAACAGTTTACTCACCCATCATGGCTTCATCACCAATTATTCCCGATCTACATAATGACCACATAGTCTTATTCTCAATGTGAAATCCACACCATTACAGAACGTGTGCAGTTATCAAAATGTCCCAATGCTTAAACAGTTCTAGTAGAAGTCTTGCTTCCTTGTTACCTTTATTTCTATTCTTGTAAATCCTTTGTGCAGTGGGGCTATCTAAGCACCCAATGGATAATGGCTGATTCCACTCAGAATTAACATAATTCCCCTACACCAACTTTCCCCAATTCTGTGTTCTCCAGTGATGCCAAACTTCAACTCTCACTATTCCAAGATTTCCTACAGAAATGAAAGGTAGCTAATTGGGGAAAATTGTTTTACACAAGCACCAAAGCTTTATAAAAATAAAATAAAATAAAATAAAAGTTACTGTAAGGAAGTGGTTACAGAAGGTAAAACATAATGCAAGCTTTGTACCCTTTCCTCAAATATATGCCTATCCCCCTTCCAGCAGGGGAAAAAAAATAAATGAACAGCTATCTCACTTGTATTAACCAATTAACTACCCATTTGCAGTCTTTTCCATTATACAACATTAGGATAATAGCATTCTACTCCTGGATCCTTCAGTCATATAAAGGAAAGTGTCCTTTACAGCCCATTCTAATGCACACAGTATTTTTTACACACAAGCCCCACTGATTTTAAGAATAGTCCCAAGTGCACTCAGAAATTCAACTTTATCTGGGAATACACTGAAGATTCAGAAGTGACAAAGAACAGAGTATAGCAGGGAAGTGATAAATTGTTAATGGATGATGGTGAGAAAGCAGAAATTCTTAATTCCTATTTTGTGCCTGTCATCTGGGTTAGATGATATTGACTCAAAATTGGGTCAATGACCATGCTCAATATGGGCTAATTTCAGCTTGAATGAAAGTTTCAAGTCGAGTGCTATCACAATGCCCTGTGCTGTTCAATATTTTTATCAGCTAATACTTCTCAGGAACCAAATAAAGTTCAAAATATCTAATCAGGTTTAAGCAATGAGCTGATGTGAAGAGGATGTATTTAACACAGAGAAATGTTAAATTCTGCATCTGGAAAAATAAAGTGAAAGGTGCATGTATAGGATGGGGGAAGACCTGGCTGGACAGCAGTGAATGTGCTAAGATCTGTATGTCCTTATTGACCAGAAATTAAACAGGAGACAACTGTGTGATGCAGCTGCTACAAAGGCAAATCTTATCTTGGGGTGCATTAACATGAGTACACAGTCCGGATCATGACAGTAATTTTTCCATTCTTCTTTACCTGGCCATACCCCACTTGAAATACTCTGTCCAACATGAAGCACCAGAGTTCAAAGGTTTTGCTCAACTCAACTGAGCATAACATTTTAGCTGAGGATAATATTCTATATCACATTTCTTTCCTACATTAAATCTAAACTCTGAGTGCCGCAGTGTTCAAGTCTTAGTGCAATCTGCTCTGCAAGGAGAATTTTCCCTTTGTTACAGGACAGTGAAGAAAATGGAAAGGAAGATGAGAGGTCCTTGGTGCTCTGAGCTTGATTGTTTTCTTGCAGACGTTTCATTACCCAAACTAAGTAACATCATCAGTGCTAGTAGGGAGTTAGGATTTGCTCTCATTTTTATTCTAGTGGTTTGCCCTGTCAATGTTGGTGGAGTGTTTTCCCCACTTTTTCTTGTCCAGAGTGAGGACACAACTGCACATTTATAATCACCACCAAATGCTTGGGGGAAAGTCTAATGAAACCTGCATTCTAGGAGAAAATAGTGTAGTGTGAATTGGGGAATGTGCATGGCTGAATTAGCATTAAGAATTTATTCTTAATAGGGATTCTTAATAAATATCCCAAAAGGCAGTGATAAGGAGATTTATGCCTGGACAGAACAGATCAAGCCATACAGGTAACACCTCCCTAAAGTATTGTGCGTCAGTCCGAATCTGGAAGTTCCATTGGCCAGAGGGAGTGTACAAAGCCTCTTCCAAAATGACAATGTGACTGAAGGTCTGTTGCTTTGTGAAGTAGCTTCAGAGGTGTGCTTGGTACAAACATTTGTTCAATAACTCCTAAAGCCTTGCCCATCCCTGACTTCTGATCCTTTTCCTTACCTGCCAATTATCTCATTCCCTTTATTCTCTTTGGTTCTGGCAGCCAAGCTTGTTTTTAGCTGCTTTGTAGAAAACCTCAGAAAAGGTCGCAGAGGAAAGATAAATTGCAGGGTGAAACCTAAGCTTCTGACTGTTCTTTTCTGGAAATGATCTTCCACTCTTACCTTAGTGTTAATAAATGGGCAGTTTATCCTTGCAGAATTAGGATTTGGAGTTACAATATTCTTCTCCCACCAAAACTTTTCATTAATTTTCTCTTTAGGAAAAAGACACATTCCCTTTTGAAAACCATCGCAACATGTTTTAACTGGAAAGACTTATCTGTGAATTCCTTTTTTTTTTTTTTTGCTTTGCAGAAAATTCAAGAAAATCGTAGCCAATAGAAATCAGTAACTCGGATTTGCGTTGGAACACATCAAAGAGGTCAGCCCAGCATGAGGTATGTACAGTGGCCTGTTAACTACACTGTTATGTTGCTCAGTTGAAAGCATTTGCCAAGGCACCGAAAATGTTTACAGTGAGGACCTGAACTCAAAAGATAAGTAGCAATAAAAATGAGGAAATTAAATAAGTCAACCCCTAGAAAAAGGAAAATACATTTGAAAAATTTGTCATGTCAACAGCTGACTCAGCACTTTCCAGGTAAGCAGACCCATCACAGGCAGTTTTTTTTCTTCTTCCAAGTTACATGCATTTGTTTTCAGTTTGATAAATACAAAGTGACAAAACTGGATCACTGATATAAGTTTTCTCTGCTTCGTTTGACTGTGAGGGTTTTTTTGTTTTAACTGAATTATTCAGTCTTTCAGCAGTATTCCCCAGCCAGTGCAGATTGCTTATCCAACCGTCGGACATCGTTCGATGACGAATACACATTTACTGAGTCTGTAAGTACTGTGCAAAGAAGAAAAGCGAGTCCTTGCTCCTATGAGGTGAGTTTTGAATAACTTGGGGGAGAAAACCTTCGTCTCAGGTACTTTAGGACATAGAGAGGAAGACAGCTGACTAAGGTGATCACAGTCACCTTCCATAAGAACGATAAAGTTGTTATGAAGTAAACATCTGCAAGAAAAAAAAGATGTTTGTCTGTCACTCACTGTAACTAGAAAGACATGTTTTCAAGGCTATATTTTGTTCACTTTTAATTAAAAAACAGATTAAGAATTCAATTGCAGCCCATTTATTTCAGCAGCAACTATAATAGAATTATGAACTCTGAATCAGAAATGTTAACAGGAAACTGCTAATGATACCAGATTGTTGCTTAGCTAAACTCCTGCTGGTTCATGACAATCCCATAGCAATGAGTTTTAATTTTGCCTTTGGGGCCTATTTGTTTTCCTATTCCCAGCCTGCTGAGTATAGAGGAAAAAAAATAAAGTTCACATGGATCCAACAGGCCTCATATTAATCCTCAGTTAAGGCTACCAGTTCTGAGCTACAAAAATCCAGGTCTTGATTAGATGGCGAAAAGAAAAGAACAGAAAAAAAAGCAAAGCAAAGCAAAGCAAACTTTCATAGCACAGTTCTGATAGCCCTGGGTCAATGTTAGTAGAATTCTGCCAACAAACTTTCAGGGCCAGTGGACATTTTTTCTTTACATTAAAAGGTAAAGGTTTCCCCTGTCCAATCGTTTCCAACTCTAGAGGATGCTGCTCATCTCTGTTTCTTAGCTGAGGGAGCCAGCATTAATAATAATAATAGTAAAGTTGGAAGGGACTTTGGAGGTCATCTAGTCCAACCCCCTGCTCAGGCAGGAAACCCTATACCATTTCGGACAAATGGCTGTACAGTCTCTTCTTAAAAACCTCCAGTGTTGGAGCATTCACTGCTTCTGGAGGCAGGTTGTTCCACTGGTTAATTGTTCTAACTGTCAGGAAGTTTCTCCTTAGTTCTAGGTTGCTTCTCTCCTTGCTTAGTTTCCACCCGTTGCTCCTTGTCCTGCCTTCAGGCGCTTTGGAAAATAGCTTGACTCCCTCTTCTTTGTGGCAGCCCCTGAGATATTGGAACACTGCTATCATGTCCCCCCTCGTCCTTCTCTTCATTAAACTAGACATACCCAATTCCAGCAACCGTTCCTCATATGCTTTAGCCTCCAGTCCCCTAATCATCTTTGTTGCTCTTCTCTGTACTCTTTCTAGAGTCTCAACATCTTTTTACATCGTGGTGACCAAAACTGGATGCAGTATTCCAAGTGTGGCCTTACCAAGGCATTGTAAAGTGGTATTAATACTTCACGTGATCTTGATTCTATCCCTCTGTTAATGCGGCCTAGCACTGTGTTGGCCTTTTTGGCAGCTGCAGCACACTGCTGGCTCATATTTAAATGATTGTCCACTAGGACTCCGAGATCCCTCTCACAGTTACTACTATTGAGCAAGGTACCCCCTATACCAGGGGTAGGCAACCTTGGGTCTTTTATGACTTGTGGACTTCAACTTCCAGAATACCTGAGCCAGCATGGCTGGCTCAGGAATTCTGGGAGTTGAAGTCCACGAGTCATAAAAGAGCCAAGGTTGCCTACCCCTGCCCTATACTATACCTGTACATTTGGTTTTTCTTGCCTAAATGTAGAACCTTGTTTTTTTTCACCATTGAATTTCATTTTGTTAGATAGCCCCCATTGTCTGAAGACTTTTCCGTGGTTATGTGGCCAATATGACTATACGCTGAGGCACATGGAACAGTTACCTTCCCACTGAAGTGGTACCTATTTACCTGCTTTTGAACTGCCAGATGGGCAGGAGCTGGCACAAGTAATGGGAGCTCACCCATTCTCATGGCGCTTGGGGCTTGAACCCAGCCTGTCAGCTTTCCAATTGACAAGCTCAGCATCTTTAACTGCTGAGCCATTACCCCTCCCCCCCGTTTCCTTTACATTACCAAGGGGCAATTCTAGGGGAAGATATAATGATTGAAACAATGATTTCACCATTAGTTAGAATGCAGTACTGCAAGCTAACTCACTGTTCGCTGCCAGGAGTCCAATTCTGAGCAGCTCAAGGTTGACTGAGCCTTCCATTCTTCCCAGGTTGGTAAAATGAGGACCCAGATTGTTGGGAGGGCAACATGCTGATATTGTAAACCACTTAGAGAGGGCTATAAAGCACTGTGAAATGGTATATAAGTCTAAGTGCTATTGCTGTTTCCCATAGCTTTTTTGGCACAGGATTATTCCATAAAATATTTTCTTGGTAAATAATTTCTGGACATTTTAAAAGGTAGAACAGGTGAAACTGATTTAAATTATAACTGGAAAATAAAACTCTCACTTTTTAAAATTAAAAGAGACTTATACTTTGAAGTACAAACTTGCACCTGAAACTTGGCATCCAAAGGGATATTTTGGGCTGTGGAATATTTTTTAATAAACCTGTTCATCAAGTTTTGCACAGAAGTGGAGAATAAAAATAGAAATTTGGGAAATTTAACTTAAATTCGGTACTGACAGTTTCAGATTTGGGACCATTCCAACTGTCAATCAAGGACAGTTGTCTCGCTGTAAATTCAAGACCGCTTTGCAAAAGAGCTGTAATGTTTTAAATGCTCTCTCTCTTCTGTGAAACCCTTCAATTACCTGATTTGTTCCATTTTCACTACATGACCCGACTAACAACAGATGGAAAATAAGCCCCTAGTAAACACATATTACTTGATAGAAAGAGTATTAATTAGAGAAACTATGGGGGATAGTTGAGTGATTTCCCATCTCTGTAATTTCAGAACAGCTGTGAAGCTT